TTGTGTTTCAGTTGCTGTCAAGCGAGCCATATTTAAAAAGCATATTTTGTGTTTATGTATGCTTTGTGTTATCACATTCTAACTGAAGCATACATTATGATTTTAACAGCAAGTTTAAGCACATGTGGAGACAGACTATTGACAGTAAAAATAAATAATCTAAATGCAATTGGTGTGCCCTAACAAATGCAAACTAACAAAATTGTTTTGTATGAATAGAATCTTAAAAAAAGAATTCTGGGGAAAATGATCTATAACCCTTGCGGTATGGCTTCCCCCTTGCTCCAAGGGTTAAGTGCTCATTTCTTTCTAGGGAGGAAAATACAAAGTTATGCAGGCTTATAGACCAGTCCCTGGAGCCTCTGTTCCCCTCCTCTGCAGCAGTCTCAGGTCCCATAAATCACCATGTTCTATACCCAGTGTACCACTTCTTATGCCTTGTGCAACATGCACACAGAGGATGGAATTTCCAGTCCTACAGCAGCACTTGTTATATGCATGAGATTTCAGTGTATCAGGACCCAGTGACTTGGAAAGAAGCCTATTGCTTTAGTGACTGATTGGTGGGCAAATCATGCTTGATAAGTGATTTTCACATCACTACGTGTGATTACCGGTATTCTGAAAAACAGTAACTAGGAACTTGTTTTGCTTTTCTGTTCATCTATTTGAAACCTGATTGATGTTTAAGAGACATCCCTTATTGTTGTTGTTTTTTTTAGTTTTTAAATAAGCAGTGTATACGGCAATTTATTTAATGAGCTTTTTTTTTTGGTAATTGGACCATTTATTTTTAGCAGATTTTATTCTGCGCCCCCCTCCGCAGAGAATGCATTAAGGTAAAAAAACTATTAGCTTTTAGTACTACTTTCAGCTCTGTCTTTCCATGACACATGTCAAAAAAACAAAAACTGAGAGATCTATCCTGTGGTTCATTTGACAAAGAATGCACAGTACAACTGTATCAATAATTACTGCAGCACTTGGCATTTTGCCTGCTATAATTGTCCTGCTGAGTATCTAATTACTTTTGTGCTAGAATGGGGGAAGGGCAAAATCTAATAATTTTGCGCAAGACACAAAGAATATTTAATTTCACCGATGAAAACAAAGCCACCAATGTATTATTATTATTATACATAACCCACCAATTTATTATTATTATTATTATTATTATTATTATACAGGATTTATATAGCGCCAACAGTTTGTGCAGTGTTTTACACTATGAGGGAGACATTACAATCACAATACAATTCAAGACAAGATTGTAAGAAGGGCCCTGCCCCTGAGGGCTTACAATCTAAAAGGGAGGGGCAAGTGATACATGAGGAGGTAGCTGTGTGATGATAAATTGCTTGAAAACGTGATGGTTGAATGGTTAGGTTGAAGTGGGATAGGCTTCCCTGAAGAGATGAGTCTTAAGGGATAGCCTAAAGGCAGTCAGTGTGGGAGATAATCGGACAGGTTGGGGTAAAGAGTTCCATTGGATGGGAGAGACTCTAGAGAAGTCCCAGAGGCGAGCATGGGAGGAGTGGACGAGGGCGCTGGAAAGCAGGAGGTCATTGGAAGAGCTTAGGAGACGGTTAGGGTGATACTTTGAGACAAGGTTTGAGATGAAGCCGGGGGCAGAGTTGTGGATGGCTTTGTAACTGATTGTTAATATTTTGACTGTTGTCCTTTGTGCTATTGGAAGCCAGTGGAGGGATCGGCAGAGGGGGGTTGCCGACACTGAGCAGTTGGTTAGGTGGATGAGTCTAGCAGCAGCATTCATGATAGACTGAAGGGGGGGATAGCCTGTGTAGAGGTAAGCCAACGAGGAGGTTGCAATAGTCAAGACAAGATATAACAAGTGAGTGGATGAGTAATTTTGCGGTTTCATTGGTGAGGAAGGGGCGTATTTTGGAGATGTTACGAAGGTGAAGGTGGCAAGATTTGGATAGCGATTGGATGTGGTGAAGACAGGTGAGGTCCAAGTCAAGGATGACACCTAGCACCTTGAAATGGTGGGAGGATTGGATAGTTGTGTTATCAATCTCAAGGAAAAAGTTTGGGGAAGGTGCACGGATGGGAGGAAATATTATGAGCTCAGTTTTTGAAAGGTTGCGTTTTAAGAAGTGTTGTGACATACAGGGGTTGATTTACTAACCTTAAAAACACGCCACGAACAAGTATACACCTAGTGTAGTGTATACTACACTATGTAGTGTGTTCCCTCCCAGCATGATCTATTGGTGGAATCTAGACACCTTTGTAGTGTGTACACACCCAGTAGGTTTGTTGTGCAAAGCCCTGCATGAATTGCAAGGTGATGTTGTGTAAATTAGCTCTACATTGTGTTGCTTGCATTGATGAATGCAGGAATGTAAATGCATGAGCTAACCATTGTTTTCTAAACTGTGAAGCAGCATTATATATGCATCATGTGCATGATTTCTCCATATATGGCATTAGTGGAAATATGCTTTTAGAGACTTTTTGGTTGATAAATACGTTTTGCTGTGTAAAAATCACAAGCACCTAGTGCGTGCGTGTGTTTAGGTTAGTAAATCACCCCCACAGACTGATATGTCAGTTAGTAGATTAGTGATGCTAAGGGGGTGAGTTGTGGAGTAGAAAGATATATTTCAGTGTCATCGGCATAGAGATGGTATTGGAAGCCATGTGAGGTTATTAACTGACCAAGGGAGGAGGTGTAGATAGAGAAGAGAAGGGGTTCAAGGACAGAGCCTTGGGGGAGCCCTACAGAAAGAGGAAAAGGAGGGGGGGAGTTAGATTTGTAAGTGACACTAAAGGATCGCTTAGGTAGGAGGAGAACCATGAGAGAGCAGAGTCTTGTAGGCCAAGCGAGTGGACTTTTTTGAGGAGGAGAAGGTTGTCAACAGTGTCAAAAGTAGCAGAAAGGTCTAATAGCAAGAGTAAGGAGTAGTGAACATTGTTTTTAGCTGTTGGTAAGTCATTTAGTGAGTTTTAGGAGGTCGGTTTCAGTGGAGTGTAGAGGGCGAAAGCCGGACTGTAAGGGGTCAAGAAGGTTGTTATAATCGAGGTGGTGGCTCAGGCGGCTGTAGATAAGGTGTTCTAGGAGTTTGGAAATTAATGGGAGTAAGGAGAATGGTCTGAGATTGTTGAGGTTGGTGGGGTCCAGTGTTTTTTGGGTATTGGGGTGATCAGCGCATGTTTTAGAGAGGAGGGAAAGATGCAGGTAGAGAGTGAAAGATTGAAAATGTGAGTAAGAGAGTGTAGGATAGAGTAAGAGGGTGACTGAAGTAGTGGTAAGGGAACTGGGTCCAGGGGGCAAGTGGTGAGGTGGGTGTCAGAGAAAAACTTTGTAACCTCCTCTGTGGAGACAGGGTCAAAAGAGGAAAGTAACAAGTGTGATGGTGGGTCTTGTACATTAGGGGAAGATGACTGGACAGTACCGATCTGATCCCGAATTGTATCTATTTTGTTTTTGAAATTAGTGGCAATGTCCTGGGCAGTGAGTGAGTTAGTGGGTGGAGGTGGTGGGTGACATAGTAGAGAGTTAAAAGTAGAAAAGAGTTGACGAGGTTTGGATGAGAGTGTGTTACTGAGAGTGACAAAATAAGTCTGTTTGGCAGCACGGAGGAAGGAATTATATTTTAGGAGGGCAGCTTTATACAGGGTTGTCTTGCAGAAGCCTAGTTTTCCGCCACAGTCGTTCAAGAGCGCGGCTATGTCTTTTTAGATGTCTGGTTTCTTTAGTTTGCCACGGTTGTAGTAGACGTGGTCAAATTCTGCGTGGAGTGAGGGGAGCCAAGGTGTCTAGGGAGGATGAGAGTGAGCTGTTAGCGACGTACCTGATGCTGCATCTTCTATTGTTGTGTTAGCAGATTGTATGCAAGCTGCTAATTTTCACATATTCTCACTTTAATTTCTTATGGTGCTACAGAATACAGTGAATATGACCAGCAGAAGACTGCAACTATGTTCATTCTACAGTGTATATATATCAGTAAATGGCACCCCCTTAGGGTGACTGTTGATTTTCTTTTGTTAGTATCTCCTTCTTCAGACTTAAAGTAAATAAAGCTATTTGTCTAGTATTTTTTGTTTTATTATTCAATATGTTGGAACTGCTTTCTTTCTAATTAAATCATAAACCTGAGTGGCAATGTCCTGGGCAGTGAGTGAGTTAGTGGGTGGAGGTGGTGGGTGACATAGTAGAGAGTTAAAAGTAGAAAAGAGTTGACGAGGTTTGGATGAGAGTGTGTTACTGAGAGTGACAAAATAAGTCTGTTTGGCAGCACGGAGGAAGGAATTATATTTTAGGAGGGCAGCTTTATACAGGGTTGTCTTGCAGAAGCCTAGTTTTCCGCCACAGTCGTTCAAGAGCGCGGCTATGTCTTTTTAGATGTCTGGTTTCTTTAGTTTGCCACGGTTGTAGTAGACGTGGTCAAATTCTGCGTGGAGTGAGGGGAGCCAAGGTGTCTAGGGAGGATGAGAGTGAGCTGTTAGCGACGTACCTGATGCTGCATCTTCTATTGTTGTGTTAGCAGATTGTATGCAAGCTGCTAATTTTCACATATTCTCACTTTAATTTCTTATGGTGCTACAGAATACAGTGAATATGACCAGCAGAAGACTGCAACTATGTTCATTCTACAGTGTATATATATCAGTAAATGGCACCCCCTTAGGGTGACTGTTGATTTTCTTTTGTTAGTATCTCCTTCTTCAGACTTAAAGTAAATAAAGCTATTTGTCTAGTATTTTTTGTTTTATTATTCAATATGTTGGAACTGCTTTCTTTCTAATTAAATCATAAACCTGCCTGTAATATTGAACTATATTTTAGAAACCTTCATTATTTTCTTATGATTTCTTTTTTTTTATATGTGTTTGTTGTTCCAGAGTACAACATTTTATATATTATTAAAAACATTTTTTGTTGTTATTTTTGTCATTGTAGCACACATTTAGTTTAAGTGAGTTTGTTGATTTTCTAGTAACATAAATATATATTTTTTTTCCAGTCAAATATGGACTCGCAACACAACATGAGCTATTCCAAAGAGCTTTCAGGGTTACCTCCGCTGCCCGAAATATCTGCCAGAGAGCCGTCAGATTTATATCAGGTTTGTAGAAAAAAAATCAAGGCTATAATTTGTTTATTTATTTCTTAACAATACATTCTACTTTTTTTTTTCAGCTTAAAGCCCAATCAAAGTCCAAAAAATAGATACTTTGCTAGGAAGACTGCGCAGTCTAACTGGCACCGGAGTATGACTCCGTGCACTTTGTAATCCAACAGACTTGGTCAGGCATGCAAGTAGCCTGCCGGAGGTTCGGCTCAGCCGATCCAGATGTTGGATCGGCTGAGTCGAACTCCTTCTGCACTTTGACTCCGAAGGCAGCTGAAATCAGCCGTACAAGCCTGAAGTGAATAGCCGAACAGCGTTCGGCTCAAATCACTTCGTGTCGGTTATTCACTCGGCTGCCTTTGGCAGCTTTGCAAATAACCCTCTTAATATTAGGCCCTGTCATTCATCTAATTCTATTCGATCAGTACTTACTATGTGACTACTTTAAACAATAAATCAGTGTGCATGACATAAACCGTAGAGTACTTCATCAATAATTCATTATATACATAGGACAAAATGATAAGTATAATCTATTCCACCATGAGTGGCAAACAATATAAACAAGGTAATTAAAGACGAGGGTTACATGCTAATATTTGTGTAGGTGTGAAAATAACAAAGTTATGCTCACCCGAACCTCGCAGATGGCCAGTTGTTAGAGCATTCCGTCCTCCTCTGCTCCAGCTATGGAATGTCCCTCACATCCAGTACACAGTGTATTAGACGTGATGACTCACAGGAGCTTAGAGCACTGGAGCTGAGGGGGAGAGAGGCTGCAGGACTGATCTAACAGCCAACCGGCTCCAAGGATCGGGTGGTTATAACTTTTTTTAAATTTTTGCACCTAGATGAAAACGAGTTCTTAACCCTTGCAGTGCGGGGGCATCTGCAACTACTGCAAGGGTTAAGGAAATGTTTTCCCTGAGTTCTTTTTTTAAGGTTTCTACAAATTTGATATATTCTCAAAAATAATAGACACAGTATACAGGCTTATTTTATAAAATTTCTGCCCATCATAGACAATAGTTGAGCAGATGGCATTTGCACAGCACTAGTGCCCCTAGATGGCACTGTAAAGTTTAGGAATTTCTTATGCTCTGCACCATCTAGGGGTATCCTTAAAATGATCCAACTCCTAAAATATGGATTCTGGAACCCCCTTTTTTTTAGGATTGTCCTCATTAGCCGAATTTTTTGTCTGCAGAAAATTAATAGAAAATTGTGCTCGCAGACATTCCAAGGGCACTCTGATGCCATCTATGCCATCTAGTTCTGACCCTACTGGGCCCTCATCTCCTAGACAATCTGTAATCCCTATCAACATCTATTAATCAAAGCCCTTACAGTGTGCTTCTACTGAGACTGTATTTGATCAGGGCTCTGAGGACCCTCAATTGCACACAGTTGGTTTCCATTTTATTTAATGTAGTACACTCTGCTATGTATCAGAAGATCAACCTGTTGTATCAGGTAATAGGTCATTTTCAGCATCACAGCAAAGACCTTCCGCACATTCTCTGCGCCTCTTTCTCTCCATTCCTCTTTTAGACTGGAACCTTCTTCTACAATCGTGGCCTACTCTGAATAATGTGCAAAGGCAATTTTCTTTTGTGGAAAGAATTTCTTGACAAACGTCCCTACCCTTTGTGGATGCTTTGGTTCTTCACCTTAAAAGGAGACTTTACTTTTAGGGACTTTTAAAGACTTCACTGATAAACATTTGGGCTCCTTGGGCAGCACAGTGGCATAGTGGTTAGCACTTCTGCCCTGCAGCACTGAAGGCCCATGGTTTGAATCCCAGCCAGATCACTATCTGCAAGGAGTTTGCATGTTCTCCCTTTGTTTGCGTGGGTTTCCTCCAGGTTCTCCGGTTTCCTCCCACACTCCAAAGACATGCTGGAAGGTTAATTAGCTTCTCTCTAAATTGGCCCTCTATGTGAGATAGGGACCTTAGATTGTAAGCTCCTTGAGGGCAGGGACTGATGTGAATGTGCAACTATGTAAATTGCTGCATAAATTGTTGGCGCTATATAAAATAGCTGTAATAAATAATAAAATATAAATCCCAGTTTGAATTAACTGGACCAACTCTCCATTCTGATCTTGCCAATGCCTCACTTGTCAGTTCATCTCTCACGGCCAGTCCTCTTTTCAAGACAGCTCTGGCGCTAAATACCCCCTCTCACAATTCATCACGTGTGCCCATGACCATGTAATTTATGGCCTACAATGTTCCTGCAACCTCCTCTACATAGGTCGCACCATCCGACCTCTCCATAAACGCATTGGAGAACACAGAAGGTTCATCGAAAATAGGTGCACGGAACATAGTGTCCCACGCCACTTTCTGCTGAAACATCAAAAGAACACTGAGCACCTAAAAGTCTTTGCAATTGAGCAGATACCAGCCAAACTCCCCCCTTCTGAAAGATTCCACCTCCTGTGTAAACAGGAAACATATTGGATTTACAAACTTAACACACTTTCCCCCCATGGCCTCAATGAAGAATTGGAAATCAACACCCATCACCGTGCCTGCCACTCTCTGCATCACGCCCTGCCCCCCCATCCCAAATCCCTGCTATACTCTACATCGGACCCAGGTTCCCACTGACATTGAACCCTTCTCAGCCCCAAATCTGCCCACACACCGCTCTGAGTGCCTATCACACTGAGCAACTTTGGACTTTCATCCATCCTCACCTCGCCGCTGATATCACGCCAGTACCCACTACTTGGTAAGTTTGATACCCTTATCTGTTTTTGACAAATCACCACTTGGTAGTGGCGCTTCTTCACTCCTTGTTTTTTCCCACTCTCCATTCTGATCTGGCAGATCCCCTTCTATGTGGCCATGGCTCAAAGAATCACATCTTTCAAAAGTGACTCCTCTAACTTAGAGCAGGATCTTCAGTCCTTGCAGCTTTTTGATCAGATATGTCAAGGTCTCCTTTTTAGTAATAATGGCTTTTTACAGGTGTCAAAGCTGGGCTGATGTACTTAAGAAGTAGAACATGTTTACTTTGCAAATTAATTTTCGCTTTGCTAAGTAATATGTTCCCTTAGCTAAGTGAATGTTCCCTTTTGGAAGTATTCACTGAGCTTAGTGAATAAGGTGAAACTTACACATAATTGGATGAATGAAGCCAGTACAGTTTCAAGTCACTAAGCTGAGTGGAAATTTCCTTTGTGAAGTGAAAATCCCCTTTGTTGAATGAACAGCCTATACTATTTTAATAAATCAACCCAAATCATTATGGTCCCTTAGATACATTGGGGTTGATTTACTAAAGCACTAAGGACTGTTCACTTACTAAAGTGTATGTTCTGAGGTTAATACAGTATATAGGATTAGGAGTGAGTGAACTGGGTAAAGTTTGGTTTGTAGAAGGCTAAGCTAACCCAGTGGGAAGGTCACAAGCATAGCACCAAACCCTATTGAAGTCTATGGGAGGAGATTCTTAAAACATTTTTCCTGCCATTTTTGAAGGCTAATTTGCAAGCTTTTGATATAATAAAAGGACATGGATAGCTAGACTCTGCCATGGAGGCATGTAGTAATGCAAATTTTTTTCTAAAAAAGTCCCATTCAGCAGAAGAGGGTTTGTTTTTAACTTGGCTTAAAGGGTGGAGTTTAAAATACACAAATCCTTTAAATAACATGCTTGGGGGATGCTTTAACCTCCCTGGCGGTATTCCCGAGTGTGGTTTAGGGTTAATTTTCAGTACCAAGAGCGGTAACCCCGAGTCACACTCGGGATTGCGCAAAAGTGTCACTTACCTTGTCCCTGCAAGCCCGCAGTGTCCTCTGCTGTGTTCGCCCGGCCGATGGCGGCATTCGGCTTTCAGTTTCGTTTTCGGGCATCACAGCGGGGGGCGGAGCCGACGGGAAATTCAAAAGTGCACACATGACATTTACACGGAATACACACAATACAATGTAATCTGCTATACTCATTAAGTTATGGTACAGTATGAGCTAACTCTTTAAAAGTGACCCTAAATTAGATTTTTTTTAAAATAGCTTATTGGAAATGTTAGGTTTGATGCGTAAATATGTTTCCCATTTTCTGGAATGTATGATTTTTATTAATCCCTTTATTTTTCTTTGCCCTATGATTCTGTAAGCGCTTCATATAAACCAGCTAACAATACACACTTTACAGAAAAAATATAATCTCAGTCAAATTGAAATAAAATAGATATTTTTGCTTCTTTGGTTATTCAAGTTGCATAAAAATAAATTACAAAACTAGAATTACAATGACAGTGTTGAGACAGTTATTCACAGGTACATAATCTACTAACTGAAATTCTTCTCTGAAATGCATATTTGCGGTTTATTTTAAACTTTCAGTGTCTAAAGCAGCACATTGCAAAGAAGTTATAAATATGTTCAATAGCATTTTGTTCTGTCATCAACAAACACTATCTTTCCATATTGCAGGGAAGATAAATGCATTGCAACTTCACAATGTGAAGTCAAAACTCCTGCATTAAATAATGGATTGAATCTGAAGTGTTCATTATTCACCCAATAAACCATAAACCATAACGAAAAGCTATTGTTACCTATCTGTTATCTATCTCAACAGTAGTTAAAATTAAGTTTGCATTGAATCATTAATGCATTCTTGGAAATGGTGGCAGTGATGCAAACTTGATAACAATTCCTTTAGAAATGATTGTAATTCCTTTAGAGATGATCATGGATAAACAGTGCCTTCTAGAAACTGCCAAGGGACAGCTATGAACTGCATTGTTAAAAACGTGAACAGATGAAGCTGAAGACAGCTGAAGTTAGCACAATAGCTACAGATAATCCCAAACGGAATATGTAGATAAACCGTACCAGAAAGCTAAAAATATCTAAATTGTTTAAAACGACAACATGAATTAAAACAAAACAAAACTTTTTTTGTACATCTGAGAAGTGTGTTGTTTTTGCTTTATTTACAGAGTAATATATTTATTAGAATATTCAGGAACAT